GTAGTTTATTTAATAGGTAAGATAAGGGTTAACCCTAAATACAGAATGGCTAAGCCCAATTAACATAACACACAACTTAAATCTAACACTCCCCTCAAGCTGGAGCATATAAATCATATGTTCCAAGCTTGTTACAAAGATAGTCAATTCTAGGTCCTCGTAAGGACTTGGTGAATATGTCTGCTAACTGGTTGCTTGAGTTAACGTACTCAGTCTTGATATCTCCGGATATGATTTTTTCTTAATAAAATGACAATCAACTTCAATGTGCTTGGTTCTCTCATGGAAGACAAGGTTAGAGCTAATAGGAAGAGCAGCTTGATTATCACATATAAGTGTCATGAGTGACATCTCCAAATTTCAATTCACTAAGTAATTGTTTTAAGCCACACACAGCTCGCAAGTAGCAGATGCCATAGCTCTATATTTTGCTTCTGCGCTGGACCTTGCCACAACACTTTGCTTCTTACTTTTCCAAGATATCAGGTTGCCACCAATAGAGACATAATATCCAAACTACACCTCCTACAGAAGGGGAAAAGCCCAATCAGCATCTGAATAGCAAACGATTTTTGTATCGTTTAGGGCCATATAGCAAACCTTTTCTAGGTGATCCTTTAATATACTTCAGTATGCGAACAACTGCATCCCAATGTTCTTCACATGGGGAGTTTAGAAATTGACTCACCACATAACTGTAAAGGAAATGTCAGGACGCGTAACAGTATGATAGTTTAATTTACCAACTAATCTTCTGTACCGTTCAGGATCTGAGAAAGGCTCCCCTGATTTGGTAGGAGTTTGATGTTAGGGTCCATAGTGTCTCAACAGATTTACAGTTCATTAACCCTGTTTCCTCCAAGATGTCTAAACACATACTTCCTCTGAGATATGATAATACCATCATTGGATTGTGCTACTTCAATACCCAAAATGTACCGGAGTTTGCCAAGATCTTTGGTCTGAAAATGGTGACAAAGGTGTTGTTTCATCTGAGAGATGCCGAGATAGTCACATTCTGTGAGAACAATATCATCGACATACTATTAAGTAAATACATCCAGCACTTGAGTGGTGATAGAACACTGAATGATCCGCTTCACTGCGAGACATACCAAATTGTTGAACAACACAACTAAATTACCAAACCAGGCCCGAGGAGACTGTTTAGGCCATATAAGGATTTGCGAAGACGACATACCAATCAAATGACTCCCCTGAGCAACAAAGAGGCGGTTGCTCCATATAAATTCTTTATGCAAATCACCATTTAGGAAAGCATTTTTGACATCAAGTTGGTAAAGAGGCCATTGTTTGAAGAGCGGCCATGGCAATGAATAGGCGAACAAAGGTCATTTTTGCCACTGGAGAAAAAGTATCACCATAATCCAAACCAAAAATCTGTGTGTAGCGCTTTGGCAACCAGTCGAGCTTTCAGACGATCAATTGTCCATAAGGGCCAACCTTGATAGCATACACCCACCTGCAACCAAAACAGACTTTCCAATGGTAATTGGACAAGCTCCCAAGTTCCACTTTTTTGTAAAGCACTTAATTCATCCAGACATAGCTTGACGCCAACCAGGATGAGTTAAGGCATCACCCACAGATTTAGGAATTGACACAGAAGAAATGGATGAGAGACAAGTGTAAAAAGATGGAGATAATCTGTGGTAACTAAGAACAGTATAATGGGGGGAAGGGTTACGGGTAGAGCGTATACCTTTACGGAGGGCAATAGGCAAGTCAGACTCATTTGCTGGAGCCGGAGGAGACATAGGAGGCAGCACTGGAAGTGAGTCATGAGGGAGACGATTGCGGGACTATAAACCTGAAGGGGGGGGTGAAGGACGATCCTATGGTGAACGAGAGTCTAAAGAAGGAGAGACAAAATGGGTGGAGCATCACCAGGAGGATCACAGATAAGAGGAATATCAACAGTAACAGGGCGAGGTACAGAACTAGATGAGATAGATGTGTAAAGTAAAAGAAGATTCATCAAAAGTGACATCAGCAACAGATAAAATGACGATTGAGGGAAGGGAAAAAAACACTTATAGTCTTTGTGGACCGTGGAAATCCTAAGAAGACACATTTGTGAGACCTAGGAGATAACTTATCAAGACCAGGACTAAAATCATGAACAAAAATGTTGACCCAAAAACTCTAAGAGGTAATGGATGTAGAGGGTTTGAGGAAATAAGATAGAATGAGGGATTTTGTTATCTAGGACGGAAGATGGCATGCGGTTGATAAGATAACATTCGTGAGAACAACATCACCCAAAAAGTGAGGGTACTTGACCATGAATGAGAAGGGTACGAGTTGTTTCAATAAGGTGTCTATTCTTGCGCTCAGCCACCCATTTTGTTGAGGGGTATAGGCACATGAGGTTTGGTGAAGAATGCCATGAGAAGCCATGAAATGTTTTAAACGGTGAGAAAGGTATTCACGCCATATCATTGCGTAAAGGCGAATAGAAACCCCAAACTGAGTTTTTATTTCATTGAAAAAAGATTGAAAAATAGAAAACACTCAGAACGATTCTTCATGAGAAACAACCAAGTACATCTGGAATAGTCATCAATAAAGGTACAAAAATACTGAAATCCTAAAGTTGACTAACACGACTAGGTCCCCAAATATCAGATGAACCAATGAAAAGGGGGATGACGCTCGTTGTGAAACACTACGAGGAAAGGAACTACGAGTATGTTTACCTAACTGACAAGACTCACATGACAAACTTGATAATTTCGACAGACTCGGAACAAGTTGCTGCAGTTTGGCAAGACTGGGATGACCTAACTGAGCATGAAGAAGGGATGATGACTCCATGATTACGCCAGCATGTGGAGAAGGGCTGAGATGATATAGGCCATGAGACTCACATCTTGTGTCAATCATGTGTTTCGAACTCCGGTCCTGCAACCAAACAGAATCTTTTGTAAATGAAATAACACAATTAAGGGAACGAGTTAGACACTTATGGACACATAAGTTAAAAGGAGACCCAGGGACATAAAGTACATTATCAATGGATAGGACGGAAAAATATGAACAGTACCAATACCATGAGATGAGACCTCGACCCATCAGCCATCGTTACTGAGGGTAAATTATTCGGACATGACAAGGAAGAAAACAAGTACTTGTTACCAGTGATATGATCGGTGGCGCCTGAGTCAAGACCCAAATCCGAGAGAGTGAGTCAGACCAACAAAAGGAGTACCTGTGCGTATAACAGAAGCAGATGTAGTGGAACTAGAGTGCTGACGGTCCTCATACCATTGAGAAATTCCTGAAAGAGTACAGGTTATTTATGGTATTTGAGAAGTAGGATGGTCTGCAGGACGATGATCGGGGAGGACGTCCATGAGCGCATAACATCTATCAATTTGTGGCCTAGCTTGCCACAGTGGTCACATTTTGACGTCCTTTACTTGGCTGGCGAGACCGACTCCGATCATCAAGTTGGACAGCCATGGAGAGGGAGAAACCCTACAAAAAATCCAAGTGCTCTGATTGACGCACGACAACAGATCCAGAAAGAGGACGAGGAGGCGAGCACGACGGTCCTGGTCGGCGGCGTATCTCGCCGGCGACGCGCCGGCACGCGTGGCGGGAAGCGGCGGATCTGGTGACCTTTGCGGCGGTGCGTGGAGGCGCGTGGGTGGTCCGTTCACCGCGATCTTTGTACCACGGTGGTCGCCCGGCCGAGACGATTCTGATGGTGTGGTCGTCGATCGATTCTGGAACTCCGACGATGGTGGCGGCGGTAGCAGCGGCAACGGCGGCGGCGATGGGTACCGGAGACTGTGGAACTGGCTGGAACAAACCTAAGCTCTAGATACCATGTGAATAGTAGAGAAGATTAGGAGAAATCTCCCTTATGTTTAGCATACACATAGGGTAGTTTATTATAATGTAAGATAAGGGTTAAACCCTAAATACATAATGGGCTAGCCCAATTACATAAACACACCAACTTAACATCTACAGGAATAAAATAGGAGAGAAGTAAGGGTCAAACGGTAAGAGGAGAGAAGTAAGGGCCGAACGGGTAAGAGAAGAGAAGTAAGGGCCGAACGTTATATATGCTAATACTGAACGGTGGGGAAGAGAGGCCAAACGCTAGCTAAACGGAGAGAAGAAGAAAGGCTGAGGAAAGCTAGACCGAATGATATTAACCGTTAAAGGCCGAACGGTTGTTTCAGTTGGGAAGGAATGTGGGAATGAGATATTATAATGCGGCACTATAAATAATCTTCTTTGATTTCTATTCAGGGAGGGAATTCATTGAGTATAGACTAGACATATTTGCCAGTGGAGGAAGATAGGCTTCTTTGGGGGAGACTACACTTGTAATTTTCTATACTCTACAGAAACAATAATACATACATACATACTTTCATTTCTGTTGTTCTAGTGTTTGAGTGAGAAGAGAGCATAGATTTAGGTTACTTGCATAAAGTAACCTAACAGTTTCACATCCAGAAACCTAATAGTCTTCCATCTCTCCTACGTAATTCATTGTGCACATACAGATGAAGGATTCTTGAACTTAATATTAATGGAGCTGAATGAATGGCTTATATTTGCTGAACTTTTAATTTCTAAAAATTATGTGCATAGTTTCTGTTTAACTAATCACTTTCCATATCCCAAAGACCATATGCACAGCATTTTCTTTCATCTAGTACTAATTATTTCCATTGCTCTGTACAACAAACTGTATCTTTTTAGCCAGAAGATGTTTCATTATTCTTGTAAGTAACTCCTGTCGAAAGGATGACTATAATCTGTACTGTGCTGTGCATACTCATACAGGTTCGAAGAGGTATACTGCCCCGCTTATTGGAAGAAATATTGACTACTAGAATTATGGTAAAACAAGCAATAAAAAAATTGGCTCCTGCAGAGAAAGTTCTTCAGCGGGTATGGATTTGAATTCCTTTTCATTGTGCCCAATGTTTGTTTGAGTACAAATATCAAGAATCTATGTTCTTTTGTTTTATTTTGTTATATTTATTGCTTATACTGTACAAAAGAAAACACTAAATTGTGATTCTTGTAGTCGGGAGGATTTTCTGAAATCCTCCAATTATTTTTTGAAAAAAAAAATGAAATTGAGAAATTTTATAAAATATTCCAACTGAATGCATGCTAAATGTTTTTTAGTTCATGAATTTACTTATATCTGCTATTTGTGATGTAAGGAATGATTCTTTTATTTGCTTAATTTAAAAGACTTAAATAGTATTTACTCAGTAATATAATTATCTTTTCAGATATTTAATGCGAGACAGCTTGCTTTGAAGCTCATAGCGAATGTAACGTATGGTTACACTGCTGCTGGATTTAGTGGTCGCATGCCCTGTGCAGAACTTGCAGACAGTATTGTTCAGTGTGGTCGTAGTACACTGGAAAAGGCTATATCATTTGTAAATCAACATGAAAAGTGGAATGCTAGAGTTATTTATGGAGATACTGATAGGTAACTACATACCATGTGTAATTAGAGTAAAATGTATTATTGTCTCCTGAGATTTGCCTATGGCATACCCAGGTCTCTTATTTTGGAGGTTTCCTGATCCTCATTTTCAATTTTTTACTTCCAACAGCATTTACATACAGTTGGTTGGGTTCTGAAACAATGAAAGATAGCCAATGGCTACTTTTTACCGTAGTACCATTTCCTTCCTTCAAGATTAGTAAGGTGGCAGGGCTATAATTAAAAAAATTAATTAAGTGATTGTATTTTCTGCAGTATGTTTGTCCTTCTTAAAGGACGCACTTTGAAAGAGTCTTTCCAAATTGGGAATGAGATTGCCTCTGCCATCTCTGCTATGAATCCAAACCCTGTCTCCTTGAAGATGGAGAAAGTTTATCACCCATGTTTCCTTCTTACTAAGAAACGATATGTTGGCTACAGTTATGAAAGTCCTCATCAAATGGAACCTGTTTTTGATGCCAAAGGTATTGAGACAGTTCGCAGGGACACATGTGGTGCAGTTGCAAAGATACTGGAGAAGTCTTTGAGACTCTTTTTTCAGCAAAAGGATTTATTGGAGGTATAAATGCTAGCAGATTAAGCCTTTTATATATACATCACACTGAAAGTAATAGTCGTTTAAAATTTGTTATAGGGAGAGAAAATGAGAAAAATGTGATGAATTCCCTGTATCAATTGCACAGTGGAGACTATTGTATATTACGGGTCATAAAATACAAAGACTATAGCTATTAGCTACCCTGATTATTGTTATCACATACTAAAATCTCTTTTTTTTTTCACAAGTTGAGGCACTCTCTCATCTCATTCATCCTACTTGAATTTTATGGTTTACATCTTCCTCTATTTTGTTGTCTTTTATGCTGGACCCTAGATATTAAGCCTGTTACTTGTGGCCAAATTTTGTGAGTTGCAGTTTCAATGAGTTGCATTCCATTATAATTTATTCCAATTTTTTGGCTACTACATAGTGTGAATCTGGTGCAATTGATGCTCGTGTATATGTCCACGCTGTTTTCTGCTGCATAATTAAGATGCTTGGTTCACTTATCCTGATTTTATTTTATATTTTTGTGACAATATTGTAATAGAAACTGTCTTGGTGGAAAGCCAATATTCTAGATCCTTTGTACAAGCAATGTCTTTGTTAGAACAAATGGTATAAGGATATAGTAGAATTCCAACTATTTGTGCTGGATACTTCATCTGATATGAAAGTTAGTGTAGGTTTCTGGGTATGAAACCTAACTGTCTCACACACACTCACACAATAGCACCCAAATGGTAAGAAAAGAATGAAAATATGCATTCACATCAACAATGTCATGTACAACCAGTAACTCGGAGCAAATCCCCCTCCCCAGGATCAAGGTTCCTGTCTATACAATTGATATCAAAACTCCCCCCTCTACCAGACCCCCCTTGCCTTCTTTAAAGGCAACCCACTTCTAACTACCCAAACAACAATTAATTCCTAAACTGAACAATTAATTCTTCAACTGTTTTCTCTCTCCTGCCACCTATTACCCATTATAACCTATCATATTATATCCTATCATTACACCCTGCTGCAAAACAACCTTGTCCTCAAGGTTGGTACAGTAGTGCTTGTTCCCATGGCTAATCATCATAGAAGGGAACCCACTGGCTGATGCCTCCAATTCAGGTCTGGAGGTTTGGGTGGTGGTCTATATGAAAAAATTTGTTGACTCCTTTAACAGTTGCTTTTTTCAGAATTCCCATGGACCCTATGATTGTTCTATATTGCCTTCTGACCTGGTGACCACTTACATGGGCCTGGATTTTAACTCTTTTCTGATGAATGATCAAGAATTCTTTCTTCTTCCACCCCCAAAACCTTTTTTGTATTTTTAGCAGCAGTACTGGCGAAGCCTCTCCTGCCCAAATTTGTTCACCTAGAAGCTAAAAAGGAAGAACTTGTTGATTGACCCCAATTCCTTCATCATCATCATGTTGAGCTAACTGTTTCCTCTGAATGTTAAATTGCAGCCCTGCAAAGAATATCTCTGCCATTGGTCTTCTAGTGTTTTGTATGTTTGTGACAACCATATTTTTTCCCCACTCAAGACAGCTGCATCTTCTACTTTATTTCCAGCCATCATAGCACCCTGTTCCCACCATATTCTGCTTCTTTCCTCTGTCTTCACCCTTCTTCTCTGTTTTATCATACACATCAACCTACCCCACTATCTCTCCTAGAAACGGCAGCTTCTGCCACTTCCTGGGCAGCAACACAAACAATGCCTCCATCACATTTTTTGTCTTCTGCACTGATATCTCTTTCTCTTCCTTCCCAGAAACAGCAGCTTTGCCACTTCCTGGGCAGCAACACAAACCAATGCCTCCATCACATTTTTGTGCTTCTACACTGATATCTCTTCTCTTTCCTTCCAGAAACAGCAGCTTCTGCACTTCCTGGGCAGAAACACCAACAACTTTTGCTACTTTCCCAATAGTAGTAAAACAACAGCTTTTGCAACTTTCCAGCAGCAGTCACACCAATGTTTCCATCACAGTTTTCATCATTGCCTTCCTCTCCACATATATTTCTTCTCTCCTATTCTGTCCTCTAATTCTTGCAAAACCATCAACACTCAAAACTGCAGCTTCCGTTTCTCTTTTCTCTCAAAACAGAACCTCTAACTCTTCCTCCAAACCCCCTTATCAATGCCTCTTTCAGCCCTTTCCCTATGTGTATGCTAAACACATAAGGGAGATTTCTCCTAATCTTCTCTACTATTTCACAATTCCTAACATTACTCCACCCCTCAAAATCAACCTTGTCCTCAAGGTTGAAGTCAGGAAACTGTTATTTGACTTAATGCTCCTCTTCCCAGGTGACGTCCTCCAATCCACCTTGCTGCCATTGTATTAAGACTTGGGTATCTCCTCCCCTTGCTGCTGCTGGTTCCTTTGCTGTAGCATTTTTCAGGGGCTTTGCAAATTCATGATAAATTGAAGGAGTAGCCACTTGATAGACGTATTGCAGAAAGGCAAATCCGTCCAGTTTGACAGTAAGTGAAAAATTTCATTCCCAGTGCATATTCAAAAAGAACTAGAATAAGCCAGTCACCATGGCCAGTTTCTTGTAAATCGAGGCCTAATAGAACATAAGCCTTGCTACCGCACTCCAACGACATACCAAATGCTGTCTCCTTGCAGGCAGTGTGCATGGACTCTTTCTCAACAGAATTAACTTGATCATTTTCAAAAGATATAAACCTTGCTTCGTCCTTCAAAGCATTTTGTCTTATACGTTTTGTAGTCGTTCTTACATATGATCTGTTAGACTTAGCCTTAAATTGGTCATCTACAACTATGATCCTTCTACTATTATTCAAATCATGATATGCTCCTTTTTGGCAAAGCTCTTGTAATTTCTCCACTTCTTCAGAAAGAGTTTCATTTTTGTGGCTTTCCTTCCTCAAAATTATATTATAGTCCGCTAACTGGTTGTCTTTGGTAGCCTTTAGCGAAGAGAGCTCAACTCTCAAATCATTGACTTGTCCAAGAAGCTCTTCCTTCTCGATCTTCAAGTGCTCTATTACCTCTTCTGCAGCGGACAAGCAGTTGATGAATTTAAGTTGTTCTTCATTAATGTGTTCCAAATCAGATAGTTTCTTAGTCTTGACTTCGGTGTACTTGTCATGGAGTTTCGTGTACAGCACCTCCATTGCACGCACAAACTGCATTGAGTTAATTTGAATTTGAAGTCTATCTTCCTTCAATGTGATTCGATGGTCTATTTTCCTCTCAAGCGACAGCCCCTGGGGTTCTCGAAACACCCCCTCGAAATCTGCCAGAATCTGTTGCAACCCTGCTTCCTATTCTGGTGCCAATCTCTCTGCTTCCCAGTCTCCCTTAGTCACTTCTGCTTGGCTTAAGCTCCAAACTAAAGTCATGGTTTCTATCTCCCTCTCTTTTAACATTGCCTCAGGAGTAACCACGTGTCAATGTTGGATCCCCCTGAATTTCTACTTCTTTTTCTTCTGACTCAAATCGCATCGTAAGTTCTCCCTAATTTACCTTAATTTCTCCCAGCCTTGCTAGCCATGCCACCCCTAATATTACATCTACTCCTCCCAAGTCAAAGAGGTAGAATTTCTCTTTCACTTCCAGTCCTTCCATAACCAGTGGAACCCCGTACAACACCCATGTGCTATTTTTTCTGCCCATCCCCCAGACTCACCTTGTAAGGTGGTGTCCCTCTTATTTCCAATCCCAATTCCTCCACCAGTCGGTTTGAAATAAAACTGTGGCTCGTGCCACTGTCAATTAATACTAGGACTCTTCTCCCTTGCACCCATCCTTGCAATTTCAACATGTTCGATGGAGTGAGCCCTCTTGCCGAAATCATGGACAACTCCTCGTTGTCCCCTTCTTCTTCCTCCTCGTCTTCCGCTAGAATGGTCACCCTCATACTCCTCTCTGGACAACGATGCCCCAGACTGTATGGATCGCTGCAGTGGAAGCATTAGCCTTTTTCCCTCCTCTTAATATATTCTGGGTAAGGTAGATTCCTTACTCCACGCTCTTTGGTATCGCCCTGGTAATTGTTACCAGTTCTTGCAGTTGTCGTGCATCCAATGCTTTCCTTCTTCGGCTCACTTAAATTTTCTGAAGCGTTTGTCCTACTCTGTGCCCCCTTGAACGGTTCAGATCTGGCCAACGTTCCTGATCCTCCCTGATACCTGCTCCACCCTATATTACTTTTGTTCATTGTCCCGCTATTCGTTTTTGGGCTCCTGCCGACTTCCTCTACATCCCTCGCCACCTCCATTGTCGTGAGTAAGTCTTCAGGATTGTGAGGTCTGATCTGGCTACGAATGTCATTCTGTAGCCCTGCGACAAAATAACCCATCAATTGCGCCTCCGTCACTCCTCTTGTTTGGGCGACTAGCATCTCAAACTCCTGCACATAATCCTCCACAGACCCTCGTTGTTGCAGCGATGATAATTTTTTTAACACAGTTCCCCGCTCTCTCCCACCGAACCGCCGCACCACAGCATCACAAAATCCTTCCCACTTAGGCTCCGTTACCTTCGTCTTCCAAAACCTAAACCAGTAGTTGGCGCTACCTTCCATGCAGACAACGGCCAATCGGAGTTTCTCCTTTTCTGCTACCCTTTGGATCTCGAAGAATTTCTCCGCTCGAGCAATCAATCCCATCGAATCGAGCCCTTCGAAAGTGGGTAATTCTACCTGTTTCACCCAATTAGGTGGTGCATCTCCCTGGTCGTCCTCCAATTCTTCCTCCAAGCTCTCTCTTCTCCGCCGGTTGTCATTAATGGACTCTTGACTTCCTTCCGAATTTCGTTCTAAATTTCGCGCCAACCTCTCTACCACTCGCGTAAGCTCTTTCAAGTCTTGGCAAATGCCCATATTGTTTGCCTTCAATTCTTCTCCCGCAAGCTCCAACGCGCTCATCCTCCCTTCGATTCGGTTCTCCAATGCATGTAACTTCCCTTCCATCTTGCTCTCCCCCGATTTGGATCTGGCACGTCGGACCAATTGTTAGGTTACTTTATGCGAGTAACCTAAATCTATGCTCTCTTCTCACTCAAACACTAGATCAACAGAAATGAAAGTATGTATGTATGTATGTATTATTGATTCTGTAAAGTAATGAAAATTACAAGTGTAATCTCCCCAAAGGAAGCCTATCTTCCTCCACGGGCAAATATGCCCAGTCTACACTCAAAATGAATTCCCTCCCTGAACAGAAATCAAAGAAGATTATTTATAGTGCCGCATTATAATATCTCATTCCCGCATTCCTTCCTAACTGAAACAACCGTTCGGCCTTTAACGGTTAATATCGTTCGGTCTAGCTTTCCTCAGCCTTTCTTCTCCTCTCCGTTTAGCTAGCGTTCGACCTCTCTTCCCCACCGTTCGATATTAGCATATATAACGTTCAGCCCTTACTTCTCTCCTCTTACCCGTTCGGCCCTTACTTCTCTCCTCTTACCCGTTCAGCCCTTACTTCTCTCCTCTTACCATTTGTCCCTTACTTCTCTCCTATTTTATTCCTAACAGAAACCCATCCCAGACAGCTACACACACACTCACAACAATGAAATAACATTGTAAAAAGAATGGGTTTCTGCATTAACTATTCAAACAGTGTACACAAATGGCAAAAGCCAGGGAGCCTAGTCATCCTCCACAAGACAATTGTTCCTGCCTATACTCAAATGAATACAAAAATCATCCCCCCTCTTCCAAAAAAAGTGACATGTTTTGAAGGCTCTAAGAGATATCAAAAGTCGGGGTTCCACAGATTGCCACAATAGGGCACACAATTGGAAATATGCTTGTTTCCATTGTTCAACTTTTTCAGAAGATACTTCGCTTCCATCCCCTTCAAGGTGGTCATAATGTCCTTGACCAAGGAACCACATTTCCACGGCAGCAGACCAAGACAGATAATTCTTTCCGTTTAGCTTTTCGAAAGTAATGGAGGGACTTCCAAAGAAAGAAAGAACACTTCCAGACGCCATTCTTGATGAAAAAAGGAGAAAGAAAAAAAACACAACAGTGAGGAATAAAGACTGAGAGGGTTTCTTCAAGGGGAGCTCCTGGACTTCACTGAAGCCGGGTTTTGAGGGTCAGAACAGAGAGAGGAGGCCCAGGCGACAGCTATGGAGGCGACACGGTGACCTTCCAACGAGCAGAGGGCGGCGCGTGAACAGTATGTGCCTGTTCGCAACGCACAAAGAAGCTGCGCGTGGCGGAGCGTGGAGGAGATTCAGACTCCGGCACCGGTGGGGGTGGTCGTCGTGTGGAGAGACGAACCAGATCCAGTGGTCGTCGGACAGAACAGTGACGGCGGACGGCGACGGACAGCGGCGAACAGATGTGAGATGGCAGAGAACCAAGTTGAAGAGCTTTAAACTGCAGTTGACAGCTGCAAGTAGTGAGAAGACAACCGCGGACAGTGACAAAGGGCACCGGACAGATGCGAACAACAATGACAATGCTGGTAGACAACCCAGGACAGAAACCAGAGCAGGATGAACCTACTCTGATACCAACTTGAGATTAAAACTGATAAAAAATATATTCTTGAGGGCTTAACAGATCCCTCTCATTATCTTCTATATATATTGAAAAAGGTAAGAGTACATGGAACACCAAGAGTCTGCATAGACCTCTAGGTACAGAACTTGGTACTACTCATTACAAGTCTAGCAGACTAGCCTTAATGATGATATGTAGCAGTAATTATTCTAACAAAACCCAACCCAAACAGCTACTCACACACTCACAACAATGAAATCACACTGTTAAAACAGTTAGGATATTAATTCCTCTTTCTCCTCTCATACACTTTCCACTGCCTATCATCTACCCTTTTTACCCAATTAGGTTGGGCGTCTCCTCGGTCTTCATCCAGTTCCTCCTCCAAGCTCTCTCTTCTCCTTCTCCGATTCTCCTTAACAGAATGTTGATCTTCATCTACAGACCCTGGACTGCCTTCCAATCCTTTTTCCTGGTTCCACACCCTTCCTCCAAGAACTCACAAGAGTTCTCTGGTTTCCTGCCACATTTCTGGCGTATTTCTTCTCCATTCTGCCATGCTCATTTTTGGTTTTGTCCTGCTCATTTTTTGTTTGTTGGTCCTTCTCTCCAAGGAATTGTTTGTTCCTTCCACACTACCACCCTTTCTTGATCACTTCTTGATCCGCAAGCTTTGATCCGACCATCCTCTCCTAAGGGTAATCGGGCAGCACTCCCTTGATGATTCGGCGGGTCAGACCAATTTGTTAGGTTTCTGGATATAAAACCCAACCTAGACAGCTACTCACACACTCACAACAATGAAATCACACTGAAAAAAGAATGGGATTTTGTATTAACTATCCAAACAGTGTACACAAATGGCAAAAGCCAGGGAGCCTAATCCCTCTCCACAGGAGAATTGTTCCTGTCTATACTCAAATGAATACAAAAATCATCCCCCCTCCTGTACAGAACACCTACCCTATTTATAAAGTCTCTCTTCTCCTTCCCACTAACTAACTAATTGTCAAACAACTCTTCCCTCCTAACTGCCGTCTCTTTTCCTCTTCCTTCTATCTTAAACCCATTATAACCTATTACTTATATCCTATCAAAAATAATAGATTGAGTGAATACACTGATCAGCTAAGGAGAAACTAGCCCCACAATTTGCAGTTGTCAAATCTATTGAATTCATTCAGTTCCATTAATATTAGGACTTCAAAATACAAAAGGAGCTAGAGAATAGGAAAAAAAATATTAACTGAATCACCTTGGAAGGTACAAACATAACACCATTTGGAGTGAGCAAGATTTGATCCTTTAACTCCTGCAGAACATGTTGCTCTGGTGAGAAGGGACTAACCCCAAGTGTATTAGCCTTTGATCCCACAACTTTACCCAGACAAGTGCAGAAGCAAAGATTGTATGCAATTATCATGGATGGATATAAAGACTGGAAGTCAAGCACAACAACAGGATCTGAATAAAATCCAGATTCTGGTTCCATTACTAGAGGAAGGCACTCCATAGCAGGTTGAGAAGCAACCTAGATGATACAAAAATTATTTATTAAACCCGTAGGTACTGGTGATGAAAACAAGCATTAAAAAGACCACAAAGGAAGCCTCGTAATAACAAAAATACAAGGGACACCTTGATAAGTTGAACAGCAATGCCTCCCAAAACTGTTTTCAATGGTGAATAAGTGAAACAAATGTAGATAGAGATAAAAACATATTAAGAAAATTATTGGATAAGTAACCTCGTGATGCACTGAATACAAAACCCTCCTAAGAACATTTTATTGCTATTTTTTTTCTTTATCACACCCAATCTCCTTTCTAATAACTAAAATAACAGAAAAGAAATTAGAAAAATGAGGAGAGAAAATGACAGGTTTCAACATGGTTGTCCTCTGTTGCATTCAATATTAGTAGTAGACATGCAGGCTATGCTATGAATGATAAAATTGAAGAACCTCCCTCCTCCCCCTCTTTAAATTATGAGTGTTTTTTGTTTGGGTACGGGTGGGGAAGGAAAAGCTTGGGAGAGTATTGATGGGAGAGTATTGATGGGAGAGTTGGCTGTGGCAGCAGAGGAAAGGTTGGTGAAATTCTGTTTGAACATCTTATTAAAACTTGTATATTTTTAGTTTTGAGATCTCCTTCTTCCTTGTGTCAAAGAAAACCAGTTTATCAAATAAGATTTCTTAGTTATAACAACATCATCTAAAATAAATAAATAAAAAATGGCATGAAATGTTAAATAACTGAATCCTGCAAAAACATATATCACAAATGAAAAACGAAATCACGTTAGAAGGATGGTGGACAATTGAAAATGTTAGAGAGTTTAACCCAACACTGTCAAGATAAGGACAAGACTTCCAGACTAGTGTCACAGTATACAATCTTATTATGCTTTAGGGAGCTACAGTCAGGTTGCTGTCTTGTGGTATAGAGGTCTCAGGTTCAAATTCTAAAATTAGCCACTCTGCTAGCAAAGGTAAGGCTGCGTACATTTACTTTCCCCAGACCCCGCAAGGAGAGAGCATGATACATTGGAGTCTGGACAGCACTTCTATAAAATCTCGTTAGGCTTGGTTTATGATATCATTACAAACATTCAACATCATAATTAGTCATATACAAATATAAAGGAAATAATAAGGGAACCTTGTGAGAACCTGTTGATTTCCAGGTGAGATAGCAAGGTAGTTTTGTGTATGGGCCAACCTCAGAAACATGGATTCAACACGGTATTGTGATCCTCGAGAGAGAACAGAGAAAAACTCTATGCCAAAGACACGAGCAAGTTCTGATGTTCGATTCACCTGCAGAAGAAAAATAATCAAAAATAAGGAAAGCTAACAAATTAGAGAAGAAAATGTAAATGTTAGTTAAAGCAGTACAAATCTAATTAAGGAATCCAAGCACACATGGGCTTGCATGAACAATATGGATGAATGACCTTGTTAGCAATATCGCAAATAAGGAAATATCATGAGATTTTGTATGTACATTTATGATGACGGTAGTAATGGTTATTCTCCGTATTTGACTGAGTAAAAGCTTGTTTGAGAAACACATTCACCATAAGTTTTTCATTTCCTCTCTCTCTTTGAACACATCTATTACTCTATTTAAAGAGAGAAGCTTAAAATAACTTGTGAGAAACTTCAAAAGCATGCGTAAATAACTGCAAACATGTTTTTGAGATTTCAATGCACCCAAATATGACTAGATTCAGGTAATATTTGTAGCCATAACAAGCACTGAAACATTAGTTAAGAAAATGCTTATTTTGACAATAAGCCTATAATGCTACCTTACCATATCAAGTTGGTTTAATATCTCAAGGTTCAGCTTTACTCTCTCGATCACATATTTGATACACCGATATCTTGCTCGTCCAGGACCACTTGAAAACCACTTTGTCAGCACTTTGTGGTGAAACGAAGGAATTTTCCGCCTCAATACAGATTCAGCTACAGATTCAACTGAATATAAGTTCAACTTAACTTCTCCACGGATCAATCGCCATACATTAAGAACAATTCTACCTCCTACATGAACTCCACTAGCATGTGTCCGTCCCCATTCATCCTCGATTATTGAATTTTCTGGCACACAACAATCTAGACTAGGAGTGTCATCAATGTCCAGCTCCAAGATATCTTTTTCAGAACTTTTCATATCATCAGAAAATATCAAAGACTCAGATGGAGTGCGAGACAGATTATTAAGTAATCCCAAACCAAGATGGGATGCTCTTTCTGCTAGAAAACCAAGAGAACTCCCTTGAATATCCCAACCCATCAAAATATCTGGGTCAGATGAAGACACAATCTTTATGAATTCTTTTAACAATAGCTTTTCATCAGTGAAGACTAATACTTTAGAGCCAGATAGACCATCAAAATTTCTGCAAACCAATGAAGAATAAGAACAGGAATTTTTTTAAATGTTATCATCCTGTAAGAGATACAGCATTTACGAAAATACAAAATTTGTCAACAATAGAAAACTAATCAAGAAAGAAAATGGGTATAAAAAGAGACATCATCGCACCTCTGACAAGTTACGAATTTACTGTGTAAAAGAACTAGAACTTCAACATCAGAATCACTGTCATTCTGAAAACCAAGAGCTATAATGTTGATGCCATCAAATTGAGGATCAGGTAAAAGGTCTGCTCTAGACTCTGCAAGAATCTACAAGTTACAGTCAAGTTTAGACCTATAAAGATTTTAATTTAAAAAGAAGTAAAAGCTTATTTAAAATTTAAAAATATAGTTCAAAGATAATAAAACTTACATATCCAAAAAACCATTACCTTTTAATAACAAGCACTAAAAGACAAATACATTCCATAATCCTATTATAAAAAAAAATTGATCCCTCCTTAAAGTATTAGTATAAGCATGTACCAATGACCCGTACCCTTCTGCTATTAAATTAATATAGTAAAAAATTAAGGCATAATCTTTTCAGTATAACTATAGCAAATTGATTTAATAAACACCATAAAGCATCTAATAATAGCAATAACTAGTAACAAAAGAACTCAGCCTGATGGCTGAGTTATTAACATCATGTTTGACTGTAACCCGTATCAAGGGTTCATAGGAAATGACAGGAAAAGTTGCTTTAAAAACCAAATACCTATGATAAGGTCTTCAAATCAGAATTCAACATGCAAATTTGATAGATGTAAAAGAACTTTAGAAGCTACAACATATTAGCTTGAAAAGAAAAGGAGTGTTCAATCTCCAATACCTCTATACTAAGTAATGTCAGTTGCTGTCCACAGCCAACACTTGCAGGGTCTCGAAATCCAATTTGACTTAGAGGGGTATAGATTGATTTTCCATCAGGGGCAGATATCTGAGAAGTATCTTGTGAGTCATCAAGAAGTGTTTTCACTCTTTCTGTTTGTCCTTCTCTATTGCATTCGGGGCTCTGTTCTGATTCAGCATCTTCATGCAGCTTAGGCCTAAGAGGAGGTTCAGTCTCAGAAGCACATTTAGGTACATCCTTGTTCTCTGCATCTGTTTCTTGATGTATATGCTCAACAATATGCCCTGATGAAAGAATATTGATATAACCAGATCTAGGTATTACCCTGTCATAATTGTTATAGATGTACAAAGATGTTTTATTTGTCTTAGTTGTATGTTTAAGTTCTGCATATTTTAGCTGTATGCATTATTTTTTTTTCATAAGCTGTAAAAACAATGTCTATTCAGACCAAGACAAGAACTCCATTCTTGACCTGTAAAAACTGGCTGAAGAAAAACCAACATTTTTCCAGTGTGCAACTTACATACTAAATTGAGAAAAACATTGTACCCTTCAGATAAGAAGCCAATTTTTTCTTTAGTGAATTTCCTAGAACAAGTAGTATGGGTAAAAAAAAATCACTCATCAGGTACAAAATGCACATATGGTTTAGTAGATACCTCTCTCATTACAAAGTAGCCATCTATGCACAGTATCCACAGAAGGAGGCAAAATATTAGGCGTTAATAGGTAAAGGTGAGAGCCATCATTTTGGTAGAGAGTGTTGGCAACCTTTGTCCCATTAGATGTAAGGGTTTTATTTGTAACATACTCGTTGCAAGTTTCCATCCCTTTCTTAGAATTCCTTGCAGAAATCGGAAGAAAGACATTCAGATCATCACCTTCAAGTTATAAACACAATCCGATGTGAAGTTTCATCAAACACACAATAAGATAAGACCACAGAACTTAGATGCATAACAAACTAAAATCAATAACCATCACCAAGTCTCCACCACATGGGTATCAGCTAGATAAAAGACAAGTGTAGAAATTTCATAAAATGCATTGTCGTTTGTTTGGATGGAAAACTTTTAAAAGGCCATTCATTGTTGTAGAGAATTTGAATGTTTAATGACAAAAATATGTTGTTCGAAGAGGAAATTTTAAAAGAAATTAAATTTTTAGGAATGTATAACATTAGAGATGTACATGTGAACATTCAATTATTCAAATGGATGTTACTTTTTTCCGTTTTTTGTTATGATTGTGTAAACTCTTTTCAGCCTTTATATGCTCAGGTAGTGTATTCTTTATGATTAAGCAAAATAATATTGAGTTCTATTTCTGTTAAGGTTTTCTCTGTTTTTCCTCATATCAAAATTCTGATACGGTATTGTGAGCCAGCAATTGTTCCACAATGGTAAATTTAAGCTCCCTCCCATTCGCTTCCAATTTTTTTCTCAATTCTATAGCTGAAAAACTTGATTCCAGTTATCTGCATTGGAAACAAGTTGAACCTGTCACAAACTCACAGACTTCACAAATTTGTTGTAAATCCAGTTATTCCTCCGTGCTTCCTGCTAGATGATGATCGTGCCACTTGATATTGAAACTATAAAATAATTCTCAAGGGTTTAATTGATCCCTCTCATAATCTTTTATTTATAAGAATAAACTGATACAATAGTACATGATAAATAAGATAACCCTAAATACAATATAATGATAATAAATAGGATAAATATTGTAACACTCCCGTTCAAGCTAGAGCCTATAGATTGTATGAACCAAGCTTGGAATAAATAAACTCAATTTGAGATCTCTTTAAGAACTTGGTCAATACATATGTAAGTTGGTCATTTGATCCAACAAAATTAACTTGTTTCAAATGAGACAATAGACATGGTAACTTTGGCTTCGAACAAGATGCATGTATACTTCAGAGCATCGAGAAAGAATTTCTCTAAACCAAATTGAACTTACAAACTAGCGTAGCCAAAGAAACTCCTCAGAAGCTTATGGAGAATAATACTGGACAACAGTGGACAACCACGAAACTTCAACTAAGATGACTTTGATAAAGGAGATTTCCATCAAAAGTGGATGACGGCCAACACTGGTAAACAACGACAAACTACAAAGACTAGATTGTCATCAAGTAAGGATGGGGCTTACAGTAGCTAAAAGTGACAAACTACAGGGACTAGATTGTCATCACTGACTTATGGGGCTTGTAGTAGCTGAAAGCGACCAAACTGCAGGAACTAAACTGCCATCAAGTAAGGATGGGGCCTGTAGTGGCTAAAGGAGACAAACTGCAGGGATTGTCAACCCTGACTGATGGGGCCAGCAAGGGTTGAAACATACTCCCCTCACAGCGAACGATGGAAATGACAACACGCCGATGACAAACTGTGAAGGTGGAAGGTCATGATGGTCTCCTTTATTCATCAAAGCATCCAAAAACATATCTAACAAGGGGCTAGTGAAATTGTTTAACTAAGATTCTAAATCTTGCCAGAAATAGCCTTCCCCTCATGCCATGAGAAACCTTCAACCCATGACTTTTGTGTTGAAATTCCTTGGTGTTAACCAGTTGATAGCACAGACTCTCCTTAAAGACTTGTAAATAAATGACACGAGCTATCAGGAACACCACAGCTGCTACAATATGCAAAGCTAAACACACATTCTGAAAGGAGGCTAAGGAACAATGGTGAAACAGAGGTACAATGCTGAAACAGAAAGCTTTTTTCTTATTTCTTCCTCTGGAAGACTTCTCTCATCTCATTTTCACTTCCATTCACCAAGAGATCATGAGTCTTCAATTCCATAATCTCCATACCTTTAAGCCTCATGTGGAGCACTCAGAGACACATTCACCTACCAATTTCCTTCATCACCCTACATTCTCAAACAACAACCAACCAGGAAAATACCCAAAATCCAAAAACACAGATTTGTTATCACAGTGGGTTGCTTCCTTCACAAACACCAAACCTAGGCGCAAGGCTCACCATCACCCTTGAAATTCCAAAGACAGGTTGAAGTGACCAAAGGAGAAGAAAACCAACGGTGGCATACAAGGAGAAGAAGAAACCAAAACGCCACTAGGATAACCATGGCTGGATTGTGTGCTGCATCAATGAATGAATTTGGATGACTTATGTCAGTGACACTTAAGTGATGCAAAGAGGGTGATGAAGAAGCAGTCGTGCCTCCACCATTCCAAAACAAAAACAAGAAATTGGGAATTTTTGACTTTAGTGTTTTAAGAGAGAACTTAGAATACCATGACTTCAAAATTAGGAACCATGGGTAAATATGGACTCAGCGTGATTTGGTGAGTCAGACAATGATGAACAAGAGAACTAAAGGACTTAGGTTTCCAAAACAATCAAAGGAGAAAGCCCTAGGTTTGAGTTACACCCACTAAACCAAAGAAACAAGGACAAAAACGAACTCAAGAGGCTCCGGTGAGGCGACCGACGGTGGTGCGGTGTCACTCTGACACCGAAAAGGCAGCGCATGACGATCACGCGCCCAAAATTGATCGGAAAGAAGCCTGGCATGATGACGCGTGTAGAGGAAAATGAGGCAGCGACCACCAGGGATGGGTCGTGCTCCTCTAGACGCACAAAACCCCTAACTTCGCCGGAGAAAACGTGACGACAACGGAGGCGGATGTCAAATAGATGTGGCGCGCGTGGCGACACCTGGATGACAACTAGCCTCAACACCAGCAAGGTTGGTCGTTGCTCGAGGAGGCGATCCAGATCCATTGGTCACTGGACAAAACTATAATAGTGAACGACAACCAACAACGATGGCAGACAGTAGTGGCGAATAGTTGAAAATAGCAAAAATCGTCATTGGATACGATGAGACTAAAAGAACACAATTACTTATTGCAAAAAAGACAATTTTTTGTAAGGCCGTCGATGGTGACAACCACCGACCACTGGCGGCAACAAAGGAAGAGACTCAGACAACATGCTCTAATACTAACTTGAGATTGAAACTATAAAATAATTCTCAAGGGCTTAATTGATCTCTCTCATAATCTTCTATTTATAAGAATAAACTAATACAAGAGTACATCATAAATAGGATAACCCTAAACACAATATAATCATGATAAATAGGATAACCCTAAACACAATATAATAATGATAAACAGGATAAATATTCTAACAATGCCTAAAGAACAATCAATCCAGCCTACGAAGAATGGGAAGTCCAAGATCAAATCTTGCTTACTTGGCTTCAATCGATCATCTCAAAGTTCATTTTGTCTCGTGTTCTTAGAGTCATCCACTCATATCAAGTTTGAGAACAAATTCATGATCACTTATTTGCCCATATCAAGGCATGTGCTAAACAAGCTTCCGAATTGATCTACATGTCCACTCTCTTAAAAACAAGACTACATGTGAACTCTTGGGACAAATTAAGTCCATTGCTGATGAACTTGCTAGAATCAACTGTCCTATAAAGCATGATTTCCTTCCTACGATGAACTACTCTCACTCTTATGAAAATCCTCACTCTTCAAGCTGCAAGATCATTTTCAAGAAATTTTTGGTAGCTCATCCTTTTCTAAGAGATGTTTGTGGCCGTTGCCATGGTGGAAGGTTTGTCAACTTTCAATTTCAATAAGACGAATTTTTGCCAGTGTAAATCAGGGTATTCTAACCAATGCTAATAGAAGTTATTTTTTAATAGAGATTGTTGAAATATATTGTATTGTATAATTGGACTTTTAGTTTTGGGCTTTTAGGTGCTGGTCCATTGTTCCTTATATAGGACTTTTCTGTGTAATAGAAACTTTAACCCACAGTAATAATATTTTTTACCATCTCTCAAACTTTCACATGGTATCCAGAGCTGGTTAGGGTTCGCCACTGCTCACTGACCGCGCCGTCGTTCACCGTCGTTTCCCCCGACGCCGACGCCGCCGTCGCTGCCTTTTCTCCGGCGAAGTTAAGGGTTCGGTGCGCCTCGACGAGCGCGACCCACCCTGGTGGTCGCCGCCTCATCCGTCTCTCGACGTGCCGTCACGCGCCGTTTCTCTCT